GGTGTGGGATGGGGACCCCTTGCTCCTCAGGGAGAACCTTTCCAGCCAAGGTGTCCTCCTGATTTTATCCACCACACATGGGTGTGGGACCAGCCCATCCAGGTCTCTACCCCTCCCTCCAGTCTTGATGTGGCTTCTTATCTAATTTTGTTGTAGAACTTCCATTCTGCTCAATTTCAGGTGGTTTTGAATGATGGTTTTTCTGTAGTTTAGATGTAATTGTGGAATAGGTGAGTACCGTGTTTACCTATGCCGCCATCTTGACGAAAAGTCCACTAGTTATTTTTAATGAACAAATGAACTGAGGATTATGTAGGTATCCTTAGGGCTCAGGTTTGAATTGGTAATGTTGCTGCTACTCAGTGATTTGGTGACTTATGTTTATTGCAGCAATGTGTGTGTGTTTTTTTTGTTTTTTTTTTAATGTTTAGATGAGCCTATTACATGTTTTATCTATTTTTATTATTGAAAGTATTACAGATGTCCCCCTTTTTTTCTCCATTGACCTCCCTCCTCCCTGCTCAAACCCCCCTCCTGCTTTCCCCAACCTAATGTCTGTGTCCATTGGTTGTGTATAAATACATATAAATTGTTTGGTTTATCTCTTCCCATCCCAGCCCTCTTAGGTTTGTTAGTCTGTTCCCTATTGCCATGACTCTGGATCTGTTTTAGTTGACTACTTATTTTATTCATGATGTTCCATAAATAAGTGAGATCATGTGGTACTTGTCTTTCTCTGACTGGCTTATTTTGCTCAGCGTAATGCTCTCCAGGTCCCTCCTTGCTGTCTCAAAGGGTAAGAGATCTCTCTTTCTTACAGCTGCATAGTATTTCATTGTGTAAATGTACCACAGCTTTTTTTTCTTTTTTGATTTTAGAGAGAGGAGGGGATAGGGAGAGGGGGGGAGGGGGAGAGAGAGAGAGAGAGAGAGAGAGAGAGAGAGAGAGAGAGGTAGAAACGTCAATGAGAGGGAACATCAATTGGCTGCCTCCTGCATGCACCCACTGAGGATCGAGCCCACAACCTGGGCATGTACCCTGACTGGGAATCAAACTGGCAGCGACCTTTTGGTGCATGGGTGAACGCTCAACCACTGAACCACACTGGCCAGGCAGGATTGTTTTTTAGTATCCCTTTCTGAATGTTTATTATTGGTGTATAAGAATGCCATCGATTTCTGGATGTTCATTTTGTATCCTGCTACTTTGCCAAATTCATTTATTAAATCAAGTAGATTTTTGATGGAATCTTGAGGGTATTCTATGTACAATATTATGTCATCCGCGAATAATGACAGTTTCTCTTCCCCCTTTCCGATTTGGATCCCTTTTTTTTCTTCTTGTCTAATTGCTATGGCCAAGACTTCTAGTACTATGTTAAATAAGAGTGGCTAAAGTGGGCATCCCTGTCTTGTTCCTTTTCTTAAGGGAAGGGGCAGTTGCTTTTCTCCCAAGCTAAAGCCGCTCTGATAGGAAGAGGCTTCCTGAGGAAGATGGCTACTGCCTTGTGGGGGACTGACTCAGCCTTCTTCCCAGCTCTCTCCCCAGTGCCATGAACCCCCCACCTCTCCTCACACAATTCCAGTCCAGTCTGCCCTCCCTCTGCTGGAGCACAAAGTGAGTGGCTGAAGCTGTACTTTAGTGCAGTGGTCCTTCAGGGAAGTGTTGGTATTCCCAGCTCCTGTTCCTGCCAGACAGAACCTCTGCTCTGGTGATTTTCTCAGTTAGGTGTTATGTGTGTGCCTTTCCCTGTCTTGCTGCTTTGGGCTGGGGAGCCAGCTTGGGATTTAAACCCCTGACTTCTCAGAGGGAGCTTCTCACAGTTAAGGTAGCCCTCAGGGAATGCTGCCTGTGGGAATCTAGCCAGCCCTCTTGTGCTTCTGTAACTCCTATCAGTCTCAATTTGGGGTCCTCTTTACGTCCCTAATTATAATGGTTCTCTCCAGCTGCTCTTCAGTAGGCTTTTCCAGATGGCAGGTCTTTATTTTAGTTGTAATTCCAGTTTGGTCTTAGGAGATGGTCTGTGTACCTCTGCCACCATTTTCCCTCTCCACAATGCTTTGAATAATGAGAGAGTTCAATTCTATAAATGTTCTGCCTGAAGAAAAGGATTTCATATCTGTCCAGGAGTTCTCATGTTAAGTGGTGTGCTTCATTCACAACTAAAGCAGCAGTAGGTTATAAACATGCCTGTATAATATGATTTCTGGAGGGAGTAGACTGCATTTTTAGACACTGTTCTATAGGTTTAAATAACCAGTAGCAAAGTCCCTCCTCTTTCTTACTATTATATTGTATTCGCCTGCTTAACACGTACTTCCTACCCAAGATTCCTAGAGGCAGCTGTAGTGTTTGGTGAGGATGCTGGATTTCACTGAAAGATTTTTCCAATTTGTTTGTTCCAGTATTGAGAGAAGCTGGTTGATCAGAGTCACTTTGCTCTATCACAGTTTTAATGTCATTTCAAAGCCTTCCATAAGGTAGGCCCCCACCTACCTTTTCATCTTATCTCAAATAACTACCCACCATTCTCTTTCCAATACCTGCCGCCCACTATAAAACAAATTAAGAGTGTTCTAAGAGAAACTATTTGGTAACTTAATTTTGTGTGTGTGTGTGTGTGTGCTTATCTTCAGATAGAGAGGGAGGGAGAGAAGGAGGAAGAGAGAGAGAAGAACATCGACGTGAGAGAGACACATCGAGTGGTTGCCACCCACACAACCCCAACCAGGGCAGGGACAAACTGCAACCGAGGTACATGCCCTTAGCGGGAACCGAACCCTGGACTCTCCGGTCCATGGGCTGACACTCTCACTGCTGAGTCAAACTGGCCAGGGCAATAACTTAAATTTTTTATACTCTACCCTTCAAGGAAGTTGAAATAGTCATCTTCCAGAAGTAGTTCTTTCTATCATGTATCTTAAATCCTTTTCATTGTGCAGATATTCTGTGTACAACTTATGCTATTTAAGTTAAATATTTCCTGGTGCTTCTCTCTTTAGTCATGCATTCTCTCTCTCTCTCTCTCTCTCTCTCTCTCTCTCTCTCTCTCTCTTTCCCTCCCTCTCTCTCTCTCTCTTTCTCTCTCTCTCTCTGTTAATCCTCACCTGAGGATATTTTTCCATTAATTTTTACACAGAGTGGAAAGGAGGGAGGGAGAGAGAGAAAAAAACCTTCATTGTGAGGGAGACACATTGGTTTTTTGCCTCCCGCACAACTCTGACCAGGGCCAGGATCAAATCTGCAACCTAAATATGCGCCCTTGAGTGGGAATCAAAACCTTGACCCTTTGTTGCACAGGCTGACCCTAACTGCTGAGCCAAACCAGCCAGGGCTAGCCACGCAATTTCTTAAATCACAGATTAATTTTCTAGTACTTATATTAATACTATGAACTTTACATGTAAGTTCTCATCCCACCAATAAGGAGAACTTTTAGAAAGCCCACGTATGTCTCTTTAAGTATTTGTTTTCTATTGAAACCCAGGTAGTAGGCTAGTGATTGTGGCTATTCCTTCCAGTTGTGCTACCATATTTTTGTTTTTTTTTTGTTTCCAAACTATGTCCTTTCTCCTCGCACTGTGCTTTGACTTCTGTAGTACCTGACATAAAGAACACCCTAGGGGTTTTTTTTCTCTTTTTTAATGCATAAGTAAAATCCATTTATAACAATGGTTTTGTAAACTGAAATCCTTCCCACGACTTAATGGTTGGTCCATGGAAATAGTACTTTGATAGTCAGTTTTCTTTATTTTTTTAAACTTTTATTTTATTGCGTTAAAAACACTTAAATGATATCTATTCTCTTAACAGACTTTTAAGTGTACAATACACTATTGTTATCTATAGACATAATGTTGTACATCAGATTTCTAGAACTTAATCTTTGTAACTGAAATTGTATGTCTGTTTAAAATAGTCACTCTTTTTTTTTTTATCCTCACCCGAGGATATTTTTCCATTTTTTGTTCAGGTAGAGTGGGAGGGAGAGAGAGGAAGGGAGAGAGAGAGAGAAACATCGATGTGAAAGGGACACATCGAGTGGCTGCCACCTGCACGACCAACCAGGGCCAGGGACAAACTGCAACTGAAGTACGTGCCCTTAGCGGGAACCGAACCCGGGTCTCTCCGGACCGCAGGCCGATGCTCTAACCACTGAGCCAAACTGGCCAGGGCTAAAACAGTCACTCTTAGAAGCAAAGAATAGAATGGTGGTTGCCAGGGGATGGGGAGAAGGGGAAATGGGGAATTGCTAATTATTGAATAGTCAATTTTCTACTGCAAATAAAAGTTAGCAATCACTATACTCCCAGGTATGTGGTTGTTGGCACTTGAGGTAGAAAAGGAAATAAGAGTGAATTTGGTGACTTAGTTCTATCACAAAACATCAGTTACCTTTCTATTTCCCAGGTTTCTTGCCAATACTTACACTACTGCCTCTTCAACTCAAGATAGAAAAAATAGATGAGACTACCAAGAACATTTCTTCCAAAATACCACCATACACAAACTCTCCCAAAGGTTGGGAGAAATATGGAAGGGAAAGTTTGATTAAGAATCTCTCTTCCACTAAATTAAGAATAGCTTATTTGCTAATTAGTTAAAAGCATTGCTTCTTCTCATGAACACAACTAACCCTGTTACATTAATAATAAGAAAGTCAAGAATTGGGTCCACTGACTGCCATCAACAGTATCAGAATCAAATGTGAACAGAGGCACATCTTACAAGAATCACCATTATTCTTTCACTGAGTTAGCATAGATCTTTTTATATTCGACAAGCCATGTTGATCACTATGTTTGTATTTCTAGTACTCTTGACCTCTGTTGGTGACACTGTTTGCTGACCTTGCCCATGAGTATTCTCCAGCTACATCACAGTCTGACTCACCAGCCTCCCCTCTCCACTAGGCCTTTCCTATCTCTTTCTCTTCTTCTCTAACCCCTTTCTTTTTCTTCACCCCTGTCTCCTTCACAATTCCTTCATGATTTTCTCAGGGCTGGGCTTCAACATCGTCGGTGGGACAGATCAGCAGTATGTCTCCAACGACAGTGGCATCTACGTCAGCCGCATCAAAGAGAATGGGGCTGCGGCCCTGGATGGGCGGCTCCAGGAGGGTGATAAGATCCTCTCGGTGAGAACTGGCTTCGGCCTCCTTCACTGTTTCTTGCTCCCAGACCCTACTTCCTACTCCTAGCTCCTTCCTTGGGAAGATTCCTGCCTGCCTGTAAAAAAAAAATGTTTCGCCCTGGCTGGGTTTGCTCAGTGGTTAGAGTGTTGGCCTGTGGTCCAGAGAGACCCGGGTTCGGTTCCCGCTAAGGGCGCATACCTCGGTTGCGGTTTGTCCCCGGCCCTGGATGGGTCGTGTGGGTGGCAGCCACTCGATGTGTTCCTTTCATGTCAATGTTTTCTCTCCCCCCCCTTTTCTCTCTCCCCCACCCCTCTTTCCCCCTCTCTCTCCTACCCCTCTCTCCCCCACCCCTCTCTCTCCCTCCCACTCTATCTGAACAAATAATGGAAAAGTGTCCTTGGGTGAGGATTAAAAAAAAAAATGTTTTTATTGGTTTTTTTTTTGTTTTTGTTTTTTTTTAGGGAGAGAGAGAGAAACATTGATCGGCTGCCTTCCACGCACCCTGTACTGGGAATCGAGTCCGCAACCCTGGACATGCATGTGTCCTGACCAGGAATCGAACCGGGACCTCTCAGTCCATGGGACAATATTCAATCCACTGAGCCACACTGGCAGGGCCTGCTCGCCTTTTTGGATCAGGAAATATCCAAATTGTAGAGGGTAATGGGAAGGGCCTTGATCAGTCATTATTTTCCAGCCCTACCATAGAATATGGAGTATATTATCTTGCTTGATAGACAAAGCAAAACTGAGTTCAGAATGTGAAGTTACTTACTCAAGTTCAAAAAACAAGAAACAGGGAGGGTTTGAGGGATTGGTGGGTTGGGGGAGGCACTTACAATCCATAATTTTTATTGTTCTTCCATTATACTTTATCACTTCTTGTTTGTAGATTAAAACATTAATAAATGTCTTTTTTTACACCAGAAGCAGCAAAAAAGGAAGGTAGGAATTAACTGTTCTTTTCAGACTCAGAGCCCTTTTCACCCATTATTAAGATAAAAAATTGGAATGCTGTCTGATTTGGATATCCGTCCATTGTGCTCCCATTTTACTCTGCTGATGTCTCTAGTAAGACCTTTACTACATTAATTTACCATTAATTTTATTATTTTCTAGAATTTCCTTAAGTCAGGGACCAGATATATTTTTTAAACATCTTATGTTCTAGCACAATGTTCAATATTGTATTTTTAGCAAATAAAACGAGTTGGTAAATTCAGGCAAACCCAGCAAGGTTGGCTGATCAGAATATAAATAAAGTATCATGGATACTTATTTAGTATCCCGTTTAGTCCTTCTCACTGATCATTTTGCCTATTTTTAGTCCATTAAGCTTCTAGACCCTATTTATTAATCTGTTGAGATAGAAACAATGATAATCTACCTTTTATCTTAACGGATATTGAGAAGTTAAAAAGCAGATTATTCTCTAAAGCTCCAAGGAGAAAGACATTCTAGAGACATGAAATCAACTTGAGTGATACATTAAGGAAAACTTGAGAGTGGGTTAGAATAAAAGTATAGCATGTAGTTAGAAACTGTGCAGTCCAATACTCTTACACAAGAGGGACTTGAAAAGTATAGGGGTTAAGGAAGGAACAATCTTATTTGAAAAGCTTCGGTTAAAGGTAGATGATTGAAAAATGGGAACGGTTAGAAGTTTTTGAGCACTTCTCAAAAGTTTAGAAGTTTAGAATATTGCTGTATTCTAAGCAATATGCTGAGAACTTTAAACGTATTTAATATTGTAATAAGCTTTTGAGGTGGGTACAATTACTACACCTATTTTGCAGCTAAGAAAGCTGGGGCTTGGTAAGATCAAGCAGCTTGCCCAGGGTCACATAAGTAGTAAGTGGCAGAAGACTAAAACTTTGGTGCGTCTGAATATGGAGCATGTACTCTTAACCAGTGTACTATATACTGCCTCCTAAAAGGTAAACGACGAGCTAGGATTAGTTATCCTAAACAGAAAGTTGCGTGGTGAATTAGTAGTAGATTTTATGTATGGTTTTATATAAAAACAAATTAATCTTTCTATAAAGGGTAGAATTAGATAAGGAAAAAAAGGACATAACCTCAATGTGAGAGAATTTATTAGACATAAGCTGAAATGAAGAGCCTTTAAAATAATTTTTTTTCTTTATTAATTTTTTTAGAGAGAGAGGGAGGGAGAGATAGAAACATCAATGAGAGAGAATATTGACTGGCTGCCTACTGCACGCCCCCCACTGACGATTTGGCCCATAACCTGGGCATGTGTCCTGACCAGGAATCGAACCAGCAACCTCTTGGTGCATGGGTCGATGTTTAACCACTGAGCCACACCGGCCAGATGAAGAGCCTTTTTTATATGGGCCATTGCCTCATTAAGAAAGAAATTACTGGAAGGCCACTCAGGTTTTAAAAAGCGTTAGGAGATAAATGTCAATGAGGAGAAAAGTAGTTGTCTAAATAACTTAGCTCGCTTGACTTTAAAATTTATAGCAAAGAGGATTTCACTTTATCAGAATACAAGAAATATTACAAAGATCTATAACAGATATTAAATATTACAAATATATATATATATAAAACACATTACAAAGAGTGATTCTAGTTTCTATTTTGTCCAGTTAAGGAAACGACATGTGAAAGAAGAGAGAGGAAAATGCAAGTCAGACATGGAGAGAGATAAAGACAGAGAAAGAGAAAACGATGGAGCATATATAGGTGGAAAAGGCCAGCATATTCTCTCCATTTTATCTAGGTCTATATTCATTGATTCCAGTTTCCCTTCTGAGAGTTTGCTCCAAAATTCTTTCTGGATCTCATTCCTTAAGAAATAGTGACTGTCTTGTCTCACCATCCTGCTCCCTCTCTATCCTTAAGTGAACTAGTTAGTCATTAATCATTCAACGATTACATCTATGCTTTAGCTTACTTTATCCCTTTGATGTAATAAGTACTTATTTATTATTGGCTTTGGAGTCTCTGTAAAATAATGCTAAATTATTTATTAGCTTATACTTCTATTTATTCTTTATGGGCTTTTCTCTCCACACGGATCCATGTTGTAAAATATGCCCCAACTCTTTCTTTTAACTTTTGATAGGTAATCAAAATGGTTATCAAAATCAAGAATATTCCCCTTCCTTAGTACATATCTATTTTGCATAACTAATAGAAGTATCATTAAATGATCTAGATTTCTTATGAGTTATCACTGACTCTTAATTTAATCTTTTCATTCTAAATACCCATGTTTTGTCTTAATTTCAAGTTCTAAAATTAAATAACTACATAGTTATGTAGTTTTCCCTTTCTCATCAAAAGTGAAATTTATTTTTTTGTTATCACTGTGGATGGTTTAAATGGAAGAGAAAGAAAAAATGTTTTTTAACAAATGTAAATGATATTTAAGATTTAAAGCCCTGTTACATCTGGTAACCATGCAACAAAAACAGATACTACCAATAGAAGAACAGACCTAAAGTTGAGATGAGGGTTGGAGATTCCTCATTCAAAGTTCATTTTTTGTGTGTGATGGTAAGGATGGTTTAATATTTGTATAGGTCACCAGGGAATCTGGGGAAATTTGTGGGAAAAAGAAAAAGTAAACTGTCTAGGTTTTTCATTTCCCTCCATGTGTCTGCCTACATGAAAGGAGGTGGGTAGTCAAGAATAGTCAATCTTCAGTGAACCATACATTTTTATAAAGCTCAGAGCGATATAGCTGGTTATTATACTACACAGATGAATGTTTCATTTTGACCAAACCCCTTACATAACAAAAATGGCACAGATCGGGCCATTAGTCAGATGCATTTTACATTCTAGTCAATGAGAGAATACGGTCAATGAAAGAGTTGAGTAGTCATCAGCATTTATCAGCTACTGTACTTGATGGCCTGCAGAGCACTGTGCCAGGTGCTATGGAAAATTAAAAGAAAGTAAAAGACTTGCTTCTGCTCTTAGCTTAGAAATCAAGAGGAAAGACCCACCAGGAATCCTCATCCAGTCAGCTCCAGAGACATTGTAATATACAGAATCCTTTAGACCTGTCAGGAAGAGTCTTTGTCTTCTCATCTCTGTATCCCCAGCACTTAGGCCTGTAGCTGGCACAGAGTAAGCATCTAGCAAGTTAGTTGCTCTATGAATGAATTATAGCATGACTGACATTTTTGATTGGGCCTGATTGACGCTGGGTAATTTTTTTCCTTCAACTTTGATGAAAAAAGAGACATCCCCTCCCCCAAATTGTAGTTCATTTCAGTATCTTAGTAGGAAATGAAAATATCCAGAGTATAATCTGAGGTCAGTGCTTATTAAATTGAGCCCATTTTTCTCTACATCTTATATGTCTACACTTATATTATTCTATAGATACAGAGTTCTTGTAACTAACATCCTGAGATAATGTTAGATTATCCTGAGGCAATTTGAAATTATTAATCATCAAAGAAAACTAATTTTAACTTAGTTGACTCATTTTCTAAGTCAGGAAATAGGAAACTCATTTTTAAAGACTGCTATAACCATAGTTAAAGCAAAACATTGTATGTTTTCCCATCAGAACACCATCATCCCAATTCTCTGAACATTTAGTCAACAAAATGTTCTAGCATATTGCAAATCTGCCATATCTCAGGTTCAATAAAACTTACTATGCCATAAGTTATGGAAGTTGAAGTAGCAGGTTTAGCAGTGTTCTAAGATTTCTTAGTTGAGTAGCTTTTGGTACTAAGTCCAAGAAGATCTGGCGATCACCCGGAAGCCTGTTGGAAATGCAGACTGTCAGGTACCTTCCCAGACTTATAATGAGATCCCTGCGTGAGTGTAAATAAAGTGTGAGAAGCATTGATCTAGGCAAATGACTTTCAAACCTTTTAAATTATGTCCTGTAGTAGGAAATACACATCTGTGTATGTGTGTGTGCAAGCATGCACACATATATACGCACACGATTGAAGCAAAGTTTAACAAAATAATAATTAATTCTTCTATATGTGATGATTTCTGAT